TTAAGACCACCCCATATCTTTAGTTAAAAAGTCTGAGTTTGTAAATGAAGCCTCTGATGAAAACGAAACCCCTTGTCACTATCAGCGCGTCTTCCAGTGCACTCTGTTTCTCCACACCATTTATATAAAGGCCTTCTTTCCAGATCTTGATACTGATATTGTTTTCTTGCATTTTTCTATCTACTCAGCTCCCATCTTCTAATTCCAGCTAAAAACATAAATACTAGAGGGATAAGGCAAAAAAAAATATTTAACTATGGGTGACAGGGGGCACGCTTGGGGCCGGGTCTCATGCCAGCCCACCCACCTGTCTCTATGGGGCAGTCCACCCAGTCTCACCTGCCACAACTTTGCTGTTCCCATAAACTGGTGTTATAATGCAGGAGTCTGCCCCTTCCCAGCCCCGATGCCAGGGAGTACTATGTGCAGCTCCAAGCCTCCCCTACACTGCAGCCCATGCCTTGCAGATGGCATCCACATGATGTAATCATAACTGTCGCAGAGCACCGAGGTGCACTGCTCTTAGAGGGGCAGAAACTGCCAGAGGAAAAGCTCTGGCAGTGCATAGGGAGCCCTAGCAGGGAATAGGAGCCCATCTGTGGGTTGCCAGGGCAACTGGAGGGAACAAATGATCCACCCCTGCCAGCGGTCAGCTGCCTGTAGGTTGAGAAGCCCCAGTGCGGGCGTAGCAAGCCCCAGAGCGGGGCAACTTGAGAAGCCCCAGTGCGGGCGTAGCAAGCCCCAGAGCGGGGCAACTTGAGAAGCCCCAGTGCGGGCGTAGCAAGCCCCAGAGCGGGGCAACTTGAGAAGCCCCAGTGCGGGCGTAGCAAGCCCCAGAGCGGGGCAACTTGAGAAGCCCCAGTGCGGGCGTAGCAAGCCCCAGAGCGGGGCAACTTGAGAAGCCCCAGTGCGGGCGTAGCAAGCCCCAGAGCGGGGCAACTTGAGAAGCCCCAGTGCGGGCGTAGCAAGCCCCAGAGCGGGGCAACTTGAGAAGCCCCAGTGCGGGCGTAGCAAGCCCCAGAGCGGGGCAACTTGAGAAGCCCCAGTGCGGGCGTAGCAAGCCCCAGAGCGGGGCAACTTGAGAAGCCCCAGTGCGGGCGTAGCAAGCCCCAGAGCGGGGCAACTTGAGAAGCCCCAGTGCGGGCGTAGCAAGCCCCAGAGCGGGGCAACTTGAGAAGCCCCAGTGCGGGCGTAGCAAGCCCCAGAGCGGGGCAACTTGAGAAGCCCCAGTGCGGGCGTAGCAAGCCCCAGAGCGGGGCAACTTGAGAAGCCCCAGTGCGGGCGTAGCAAGCCCCAGAGCGGGGCAACTTGAGAAGCCCCAGTGCGGGCGTAGCAAGCCCCAGAGCGGGGCAACTTGAGAAGCCCCAGTGCGGGCGTAGCAAGCCCCAGAGCGGGGCAACTTGAGAAGCCCCAGTGCGGGCGTAGCAAGCCCCAGAGCGGGGCAATTATCGAGAAGCCCCAGCAAGGGCATAGCAGGCCCCAGGAGGGGGCACTATTGAAAAGGCCCAGACTGGGGACAGCAGTGCAGAGAAGGCCCCGAGAGAGGGCGACAACGCAGCGAAGGCCCGGAGTGGGCAAGGAGAGCCCCAGGAGGGGGAGTCAGTGTACGTAGAGAGACAAACCAACGTCTATCCCATCTGCGAGGCTTGGGGCGTGGTATCAGGGGTGGTTGGAGCCACACGTAGCCCATAAGGCTAGGGTGCCCCGAAGCACCCATTTGTGCTGGACAAGATCCACGAGGGGTCCAGGAGTCTACGTGTCCAAGAGGGTATAAGGCAGCCTCCCAACTTAACTTAAGAGCAAAGACGTGGCGGGCGGGAATAGAGGGGGGG